ACTGGACCCACCTCTGCAGGGGGGTCTCACCAGAGTGGAGCAGAGGGAGACAGTCTCTTTCCTGGCCCTGCTGGTCACACTGCTGGTGATGCAGTCCAGGACACAGATGTTTTCTGGGCTCCAGTGCACACTGCTGGCTCATGTTGAGCTTCTCATCACCCAACACCCTCAAGCCCTTCTCCTCAGGGTTCCTCTCAATAACTTCCCTGTGTCCTTAGAACCTCCAGGTCAGCAGTTGCAACAGAGATTCACAGGTTGACCCCAACACAAGGCTCAAATCTGCAGATTGACCCACTCAGCAAACACCTAAGCAGGGATGATGTTTTCAAAGTCAGGTTGGCACGTTCCAGTTGGAACCTAAAATTTGTTTCTGAAATCATATATAAATTCTTAGAAAAGCTTTAAATCAACCAAGATTGAAAGTCATATTGAAATATATCCTCAAGGAACAGACCTTGGGAGAGGAACCACTCAGCCAAATGATCTCTGCAGTTCATAGGGTCATCTTAACTGCTTGTTGGAAGAGGTTGGGTACAGGGCTGGGAGCAGCAGTTTCAGCTCTTGGCATCTCCACAGGAGAAAACAGAGGGAAAATAAGGGCAGCAGAACATGACACGTCAGGTGAGAGCTTGGTCCTCCCTTGCTGAAATGGGTGCAGCTCTGATAGTGTGGAGGATGCTCCCTTCCCTCCCAGCAGTGTACCATGACCACTCTCAATGCTACTGGTTCTCCCTACCATGGTGTGTCTTCTCCTCTCACCTTGCAGGCAGGATGATTTTTTCTTCCTTACTGACCCTGAGGACTTCATTGAGACCCACTGGCCAGAGGACCCCCAGTGGCAGCTTCTGCAGCCCCCCATCTCGAGGGAAGACTTTGAGCAGAGAGTTTTTAAAACCTCTGAGTTTTTCAGACTTCAGCTCTGCCTCCTTTCTCCAAACACTTCCCTCCTCCAAACAGGTAAATTCCACTAATACAAAAACTCATTTCCTTTCAAGAAAGAAATTTGGGCTGAGGAAAACATTTCTAACTGACATATGGCCCATTGGTCTATTTTTAAGCACATGTTTAACATCTAGTAGAGCAGAGACATATATTTAAACAGTTTCTGGAATCAAGGCCATTGTGTGATACTGTGATTAGTAAACTGGGAATTAAGATTCATAAATTGTAGATAATTGAGCCAAGTCACTTAAGCCCTTTTGTTCCTGACTTTTCCCCTTCTAAATTCACCAACAGTAGCAAAATAGCTCCAACCTACCTGAGACACAATCCTCATTGTGTTCACAGGCTGGGGAGGGAAACTCCCAGATAAAACATGACCTGAAATATTCACATCCAATCTTTTTGTTGTTGTCAACGAAGGGAGGAGGCTGGAGTTGTATTTCCTGGGATGCAGTTTTATGATGATTTTTCAGGTTGGATACAAAACGACCTTCTTTTCACCCAGACAGCCTTTGTAGATCCATTTCCCTGGATGGTCCCAAGAGTAGTTGGATTTTTCCTGTCATTTATTTTATCCAGGCAGCAAGCTAGGAGAGAAAACAATCTCAGATGGAGGGGAGTTGTCAGGCTTGCAGAAAATATGCACCACAGACAGAGCACAGTGTCATTTTTTGACTGAGAGAGGTTATTACTTACCCAGAAAAAGCTCCTCCAGTATTTCCAGGATGCTGGGGCTTTGCCAAGAAGGGGTATCACACACCTTTGGAGCAGAGAGTGGCCTGTGCAAATCAAATTCAATTTGGAACAGCTGAAAGGTTGATGTTGCCTTTTATACAAAGCTCTTGTGTTGCTTCTCCCTGGCAGAACCTCAGAGCATCCCAGTGTGGGGACTTGGTCTACCTTTGCCCAAGGTCACCCAGCACCTACCTGGCAAATGGAGACCTGGAGAGACCCTTTCAGGTCCAAGTGCCTCAGGAAAACCCAAGACACAATGTCTGCAGTCTCAGAGGAGAGCAAGGAGATCAACAGGCCCTTCATCTGGGTGCCAAAGCGATAAATTGCAAAACATAGACTCTTACCAAATGTCATTAGTGGTGGTACAAAAAGCCCAAAGGGAAGAATGAGGGAAAATAAGCATTTCATTAGTCTCTTCTCTCTCTCCTCCAGTTTTTGATAGCCAAAAGACATAGGGATGGAGCCCATAAGCAGCTCAGGGCTTTGGGTCTTGCTGGTCACAAGCTGCTGTGAGCAAAAACAGACCTGGGGAGAGATGTCAAGGCAGCAAACCTGCCTGGCATGTCCCAGCTGCAGCATCCTTCTGTACCCCTTTGGCTGGAGCATCTCCTGTCCCTCACTGGG